ACAGCCAGTCACACAGCATGTGTCTAGATTGACCTGCTGGCTACAGAGCCGGCTGTCCTGCAGCCACCTTCTGCTGGACATCCAGACTGGGAGTCTGCCGGAGGGTGTTGAACTTCTCCAGCTCACACACACACTTGGACTTCTATAGAAAGGAAGGTCGAGAAAGACCAACATGTGCCTGCAGAGTTGGGATATGGTCCTCTTGTTCGCACGCGTGAATTCAGAAGAATGTCTAGGTCTGCTAAAAGACTCCATCATAGATGAGATTATCGTCTCTTTAAAATCATTTACCTTGCGAGAAGAGCTTTGTACCAATGCCCCGCAGTCAGAAGAAGAGCTGTCTCCTCCAGAGGCACTGCCTGCCCACCGCTGCCCATCCTGCAGGGCCAGCTGAGCTGGGGAGGTCGGTGTGGCCATGAGACGGCGCCGGGAGCACACCGCTCCCAGCGCTGGGTGCTCCACACGGGGCTGGGGCTGCCCGAGCCTCCACCAGGAGAGAGGCGGTTTCTAAATAACCTGTAGAAAGGCACCATGAAGGCAAAGAGACAAGAAAAATGAGATTTCAGGGCCCTGATCTCAAGGATAGGCGTGTTTCATTCCCCTGGATTTGCCACCGTGACCGGCTGCTTAAAAGATGCCAGGTAGTGGAGGCTGGGAAGGGCCGTGGGATGCAGGTGGCAGAAGGCTGGGGGCTCAGCTGCACCCTACTTGTAGTGTTCCCTGTGGGCTGTGTCCGGAGAGCCTTTGGCTCCTCTGCTCTGCACCTCCCGGGCCTCTGACCAGGCAAGAGTTGCCTAAAGGACACAAGCAGCTTTTCTCTTAATAATACTAATAATAATGAGGTCGCGATTATGTTTTATAATGCCTGGACTGCAGGCTGAAGATGCATCTCCCCCCTTCAGACCAGAGGGAACCTTGCCTTTTAATCACACTCTTACCCTCAGCATTATGGGGATCTTCTTGAAGGGTTAACGGCTGAAGCCAAATGATTGCAGGAGCATCTTCACCTATATTTTTTAATGAAATTTCTAACCTCCAGGTGGTAGAGAAAGGCTTGAAAATGTGAAGTGATGGCTTCCTAAAGACTCAAAACCCAGAGCAAATAAAAGTACTTCCAAAGCTATGATATTTTTTCAGCCAATTTCATACTGTTCAAGGGCTCAACTTGTGATTTTTTTTTTTATCCCTGGGGTTGACAAAGCTGCTTTCTTTTCTTATCTCCATCCCTTAGATTCTCAACTATTCTTGAGGACTACAGGCACTCTCAACAGAAGAGACATGAGTTTCCTCAGACTCAGCCACAGTTTGTAACTGTGCCCCGCCACTGCCTGTTTCTCAAGCTCTTTTCCTCACTGCTGTTCTTTGGCTGATTCCTTCCCCAGAAAAATGCAAAGCCTGACCCTCAGGGTTTTATTATCTAATATTAATTAACTAATAATACATTAGCTAAGACAGCCCATCCCAGAGTTTGCTCAAGTCAAGAGTCACAGACACCCCCCGCCATGACAGTCCTCTGCGTTAAATACTAAATTGTTTTGGCTTTCTCAAAATACCGCATAAAGAGAATATTCCAGTGGAAAGGGTATTCATGGCTCTGTGCTGTTTACTTTCTATGGAATAAAATTAGCTCATAAATCAGTGAATTCATGGCAATGGATTTACATTCCACATTTAAATCTCCAGTGACTTGTATGTTTGTTTCTTGGCTGGTATAACTCTGAATTTTCATAACTGAACACCTAAGTTGCTTTTTACTGTTGCTCTCTGGATACCCATATAATGACGTTTGAAAGCTGGCTGTAGTCCCTGCCCTATTAGAGAGTATTTGAATGTTAAGGTCAACACTCAGGGTGTGTGGCAAGTTTTTCTTTTGGTATTCATTATTTTAGTTACAGTCTGGACATTGTGTTGGTAAACAAGGCATTCTCTTTGTGTAGGGATGCATGTGGTTGCCTTTCAGGAGGTGAAATTATTCTACTGAGTCTTTGAAAAATAATAAATTTGTTGGAAATTAAATACATTTTTTTTTTTGCTTCTGGTACGGCCCGAATATTGAAGTGGAGTAAAGGACTGATCTTTTTACTCACACTGACAATCAGTTACTAAGATGGAAGTCAGTGGATCTATTTGTGGAGGTGACTGCTTGCCAGCATGAATAAGGGGATCAAAATCTGGTCCAAAATTACTGCCATCTGATACTATTGCAATTGGGAGAACATATTTAAAACAGCCTGTGCCCAGGACGTATTTTTTGTTGTGATGTTCTTGTGGGGTAGCAACAATTCCAATTACTGCTCTGAAAGACAAGTGTTATGGCCAAACTGGCCATAGAAAGACAGGTCCATTGTGTCCTTCTGATGCACTTTTGAGATGTTTGGTTCCTTCATTCTTCCTTCTTTACTTCTCAAGAATAACATTGGTTAGGCTGCATTACAGATTTGGGGTTTTATTGACATTAAAAGCATAGCATTTAGGGCTATATTCAATGTAAAAGCATTTATATGGGTATTTCTTAAGAAAATGAAAAGAGAGTATGTATTTGGGTCTGAATTTTTCAGCAATTTGAGATAAGTTAAAATCTATCCCTCCAAAAAAGATAGTATTTGTAAAAAATGTGTTTATTGCACAGTAAAAATTTCTATGTAAAAATCAAATAGTGGCATACTCTCTGGTGTAAAGAGGTGTGTTTTCTGCTGCCTTCCTATAGCTCAGGACAACAGCACTGCTGGATAAGGCAATGGGACATAACTCAGGAGAAACATATATGTCTGAATGCAAGCTGAGATTAAAGCAGCCAGTGTAGATGAAATAAATGCTTTGCATCTCTGTGCACATCAAATCCTGTAACCATTTTGACCTCAAACCAACATGGAATAACAGTGATCATACAGAGCAAGTAAATAATTATCTGTCTGCCCATCCAGCAAGAGCCTTTAAGTACAGGATGGCTGAGTCAGTTGCCAGACACTGTTGAGGAAGGAATTTTCAGTGCCAGAAAAAAACCCAAACAATTTGTGGGTTTAGTTTTATTCCCTGCTCTCTCTGTCCTTCAGTTTTATTAATGATTGATTTTTTTCACTCGAGTCAGTCAGATTCTGTGCTCTTTGTTTTGTGCGCAGCAGTGTTAGTCAGTGCGACACACGTTGCACCATACCTTACAGTAAAGCTGAGGGACTTGTTCAAACAAAGGTGATGCGAGTTGATCTGTTTCTGAAGAGACCTGAAACCATGGAGACCATGGAAACCGCGCAGCTCTGCCGCATCCTCGTTCAGCGGCTGCAAGCGCATGCTGCCTGGGAGGGGGAAGGAGCCCCGGTCCCTGTGCAGCCCCGCTGGCCCCAGGGGCTGCCTGCATCCGGGGAAAGACAACTGCTGACTTCTGGAGCACCTGGGAGTGCATCTGGGAGGCAAAATGTGTGTCGTGCTGGAAGGTGGTTCTGGAAGCTCAAAATCCTAGAGGATGATTTGCATACCTGGCTCTTTGTTGTCCCTCCTGTGCCACACCGTGGCCCAATGGACCTATCTGAGACAGCAGGGAATGGAAGTGTGAATATTCCCAGCGCCCCACGTGAGAACAGTGCCTTAGCCCCGGGGGGGGAATTGCTGTTATTAAGTACAAAGGTTCCATGCTCCGAAAGGAGAGCTTTCCTTACCAGATCTGAGAGCAATACCGTAGGGACCGACTGTTTCACCACCCGTCCTGCCTGTCAGTGCAGCGCAGCAGCTGTCATTCCGAACTTTAGCAGAAGGCATGGCTTGATTGACTGATCATTTGTAGTTGTTTTAATGGGTGTCTGCACTTCCCTCTGAAGGGAAAGAAACAGCAGCAAACCCCTCCAAGCCCCATCTCCAAAGCTTCTGTAAGTATAATCTCATTGACTCTTAAACAGGAGAGAGGTCACTGGAAGTGACAAGCATTGTTGGACAAGCATTGTTACACCTTTTGGGGGTGGCAGGGCTCCAGCAGTTCCTGCAAGCTGTCATTACACGCATGAACATTTTATAATAACCCTTCATCGTGTGTCCTTAGTCAGGATGTAACAGGACCTCCCACACGGAAAGTGCAGGTTTCTGTTACTTACTGTTTGCAGACCCCTTGTCGCAGGAGAAAAGAACCACACTGAACAAACACGGTGCAGGATCCCACACTGCTAAGCAGGCACTTGTATGCTCTTACCCTCTTAGATAGAGAAGCATAGTCCACTATAGCCATGACATCACACACAGCAGGTATGATGGGCTAGAGTGGGAGAGCGCTTAGGCAGCAAACTGCTAGTGCAGGGATGTGAAAATGTCTTCATATCCTCCTCCGGATCCTGTGTAAAATGAAAATTCCATCATCCCCAGTGGATTTAACCTGTACCCCCCCACTTACTCCTTCATGCTGATTTTTTTCTCAGATGACCAAATACAGTACTCATTCCTTCGTACCGCTTGTCCGTTGTGTTTCTTTCCATCCGTCAGGGTGTGAGTGGACAAGTGTTCACACTCTGAATTTCTTACAAAGGAGAAGGGACATCTTGCTCAGGGTTAGATAGCCACGTTAGGTGTAACGTTGCATGTCTTCACGTTGGAGAAAAACTCACCTGTGAGTTTTGCTACATCTGCCTAATATGAAGAAACCAAGACTTGGAGACCCTTGCCATGATCATGAGGACAGCCCAGCCCTGTTCCCACTAGTGTCAGTGGAAGCAAGAGCTGACCTGGCCTCAGCCATGAAGTAGGAGTTTCTTCCTTTTCTGTCATCACCTGACAGTGAACTCCACGCCAGACTGTTTCCTTTTCAGCAGCAACATTCAGATACATCAGCCGTGAAAGCTGCTTATCTTTCTTCACCCTTGCCCAGTGTTCTCTGTTTTGAGCAAAAGGGGGTTCTCATCCCAAGGTGTTTGGGAACCCAGCAGCGCCCCAGCTTTTGCATGAAGCCTGTCAGTGATTTAGTGCAGTGGGAAAATGCGAGACTTGATTGTGTGTGAAGTATATGACAAGATTCCTAATGAAGTGATTGGGGAAAACAAAAACCAGCCCACATCCATGACTGCTTATTTGAATAAAGCCCTAAATGTTCACTTTTAAACCGTGTTCTTTAATATTTCGTAGTGCTGTGTTTAGTGGATGTAACGTAAACAGTTTTCTCTGGAAAAAAAATTGTCTCTTCAAACCGACCAGGCAGTTACTTGTACCTGTGACTCTGAAGTGTGGGAATATGGCATTAATTCTAGCAAGTTTGTTGCAGCGTGCTTTTTCTTACATTAAATGTGATTATTGTTTCTCTCCTTCTCTTTCAGACTTAACCAACATAATGACTGCTGAATATTAAGGGAAAACACAAGAAGGTTACATGTTTGGTTGTCTAATATTCTTGGATTTGATATGAATCACCACATCTGTTCATTAGTATCATCAACAGCATCCCAGTTTGTATGCACATTATTCACATTCCTATCTGTTGTGTTTGCAGAAATGACATTTTACCCTTTTTTCTAAGGGTTACTTTTTGATTTTCATATTCTTTGGTTGCATGAAGTTGCCCTTTACCAGTGGCTGAGGTTTATGAAGATATCGCATACTTGAACATGTTTTAGATCCCTTTTCTGGATAGAAAAGGTGTAACTCCAAATTACATCACTCTAAATCAGCATTTTTTTAAAAACAAGTAAATCTTAGAAATGAGTCCCCTCCATACGAGACTACAACAATATCTTCCACCTACAAACATAATTTTCAATTTCCCTATATCCATGCTATTTTGATTTTTGATCGGTTTACAACATAAAAGAAAAATTCCTCTTCAGTTGAGATCACCGCCAAGTTCAATAATGTAATAAAATACCTTTCCTTATTAGAAGTACCTAGCTAGTTATACTCTTAATACTTCTCAAAATCATGATGTAATGTACACTATCTGACTTAGTTCCTATATGTGGAGTTAGTGAAAGTCTTTTTGTGTTTCTTTAGATTAATACAAGGATTTTTTCCAATGCCAACACAATTTGAAATCATTCATTTGGATGCTTTCCATTTTTAAGCTTACTGTGATATAGAACCCTATGGGAAACCAAAAGAAGACATCAATTTTAAATAATGAAAGGCTTAAAAAAGGATGCTGTCATTCTGGCTTTTTTTTTCCGTTTGGAAATAGAACTAGACTAGTAAGTAAGCATTCCAAATCCATTATTCTGTGTACATTATTGTTGCTATTGTGATAATAGAGATTTTTATTTATTTTTATGCCAGCTTTTATTGTGAAAACATATTTAGTCTGGTTTTATCAATCCTTGTTATGCTTGTCCTTGGAACATCTTTTGCGTATTCAAGGTTTGTAGTTGACGAGTTTACTGTAAAAAACTTAAAAAAAACCACAACAAAAAAACAAAAAACAAAACAAAAAGAAAACAAAAAAATGTATTGTTTTTACAGAATAAATTTATTGGAATGTGTATTGGGAGTAAGGTTTGAGGTTGTAAGCAACTAAGTTAGCGTCATATTTGGCTTCATACGTGTAATAATGTGAGGTATTAATGTAAGTCAAGTATTAAAGCAAAACATTCTGTTAACATGAGTTGACCATAATAGATACAAGTGCAGGTGAGATCTTTATTTTTTCTGTACTTTGCCTTTTCTGGATTAACAGGAGGTTATTAAATTCACCTTGAATGTACTCAAAGTTTCTTTAAAAACATTAGAAGGAACATGGGAGGCTCAAATGCCCGTTTGTGAGCCAGCATGTCCCATTACAGCCCAGCAGCTCTGGGGTTGTTTTCCCGGGAGGACGTACTGGGACGGAGCTAGCCCGAATTGTAGCGTACCTGGGAGGAGCCCACGCCGGGGAGGCTGGGTGCTGCTGAGTTCCTCTTTGCCAAGAAGCACTGACTGAGATGTGTTGTGGTTATTTTGGACCTGCCCCTTTGGCCGGAGGTACCAAACTGTGGGTTCTCTCTTCCGAGCGCTGCTGTGAACTACACCGCAGTGCTCGACGGGAGAGTGTTAAAGCATGAATTTCTCGCTGTTCTGATAGTCCCCTTCTGCAGGGTGCAACACGCATGCGCATGAGCTGATGCTTTCTTGTTACTGGTTAGGTTGAAAAAGACAATTAAAATTCTCTAAATCAAACCACCCAAAAGTTAACATCCCAAAATAAAGTGTTTCCAGTTAAAATGTATCAGCTAATTTCATCTGTGAGAAAGGCACTAAATGTACTGCTTTTAGTAAAAATACACCTAGAAGTCATAGAAGTAGTTCCATTTGCAAACAGAAACATAAAAACACACGCCAAGGTGGCTGCATTTGCTGCTACTTGTTTATGACCCAGCAGCGTTAGCTGCAGAGAAGCACAGGGCCAGCCCCCCTCCTGACAGCGTGTGCGGGGGCGTGAGGCCTGCTCGGTCAAGGGAACAACGGTCCCCCTGTGCCCAGCTCGGAAGTGCTAGTAAGCACACGCTTCAAGTCAAGGAGATGAGCAGTCCTTGCCAAAGTGAATCCTTAAAAGAATTAACAAAACTATATGATTTGCTTATTGTACCTGGAGTCCTACCGTAAAAGTTGACTGCTTCTTCAGAGATTTCTTGGGATTTTTAACAAGGCTGACCCACAAGACATACTTTTTGACAAATAAAACATGTGCATGTGACAGAGTTATGTATGTTAATTTTTCACACTGCAAAATACTGACCTTCACATTCTACAGTAGCTCTGTGTAGGGATTCCTAGCTCTGATATTCTTCAGTGTGTGGAGGCTAAACACTGACATCATTATTATTATTTAACTTCATGCAGTATTTCTAAAACTGTCAAAGCAGCTTACTTAAAAATAGCTATGTGAGCTAGTAGCTCCACTGCAGCGCAAAGTCAAAATGTTGAGAAGTGGTACTGAAGGCAGTCATCTTTATTTTCCCTTTTTGAGTAGGATAAACAAAATAGACCGCGCAACTTTACACAATTGTGCAATTTTACATATCTTACACGCTTCAGCTGGGTTCCATTTAAGCAGTTCAATTACATCCCAACCCAATTATATACATAGCCAAGAAGAGGAGCAGAAAACAGTCGTGCTATTCCATTTTTTCTTCTTGTTTTGTTTTCATAAAAAACTCTGGCTTGTTGACACACCTGTAAGCCAGCAGCTGGGGAAGAATCCCGTACATTACGTTCAGTATCAGAAAAAACTGTTTTGCTTCTTCAGGGACTCTGTAGATGTAAGGAGTTCGAGCATGAAGAGAAGCACCAATATGGGAAAACTGAGCCTGTGGTGTGTATATAACGTATATATTAAAAAAAGGGTGAAGTTGATGCATATTTTGGAAAGACAGCATAATCTGCATGCATGTATGCATCTCCAGTGACATTTGCCAAGCCAATCCTTTTATTCCAGAATTACCCATCATACTTCTGCACAGCGGTATAAAAATACAGTCTAAACTAAGGTCATTAACATCTTGGTATAAGAGGGACTGACAGTACCATGGTAGGAGGTTTATTATATGCACGTGGTGGCACTGCTCTTTGCATCAGGTGTAGGATTTCAGCCCTGGCTTATGGGTGATTATTCACGCAACAGGGTCTGTGGTCCTTCCCCAGGCAAACAGCTGCGGGCATCACCGCAGAGATCTGCGCTCCCGAGGCTCAGCCCTGCCATGGGGGTAGGACTCGCACCCGCCTACCCAGGGATGTTGTGTTTGGCACCGAGGGGACACAGGCAGACACTCGCTCACTCTGAGTGAAGTTAGAAAAAATCTTGGAAGCTATGTTAGTTTCTTTTTTTTTTTTTTTTTTTAAATCTTATACCCAGTCTCCCAGATTCTGATCCCAGAACTCCTGATGATTTCAGAAAACGTCTGCAATATTTAGCTTTTGGGCTGGGGGTGATTCTGAAGTATAGATTAAGTTTACAGTGAAGGTTGTATGCAAAGACAGGCTTGCTGGGCTGAAGCGTATTTTTAGCATAAACAAACATTTAAAGATAGAAGCATCAGGATAGTCGCTGTCTTTTGTCTCCATCTGTTACCTGCTATTTCAAGCCACAGCTCATTCACATTAACTATTGTCTGTCCTTTTTATTATTAATAGTTAGTTTACAGGGGAGGAGATCTGAGAAGATAAACATCAATTTGACCTTAAGCAGAGCAGGAGAAAGGGACACCGAGATTTTAGTAATACAGAGGAGAACACCGTGACCAAATTGCATCCTCTGTT